TATATATGTATATATTTTTACCAATGTGTTAATGTATATTAGTATTGTTCTTCTATAAATGTCTATGCAAAGACTGTCACTAATGGTTGCCACAGCATCCTCGGGAAGCTGGAGAGTGGTGTTGGGAGGTAAATGGGTGTTTATTTTCTATTATACTTGGGTTTTTTGTTTTATTTCTATTTTCTTCTATGCAGATGCTCTGACGAACATGTATTTGACATCATGCTACTGTCTGCAAAAATGTCATAAAATGATTTGGGGAAAGGACATCATCTTTTGTTTTTCTAATGGTATTATTCCTCTTAGTATCTTTTAACATAGCAATAAACACAGATTTTCATTAAAAAAAAATATATATTATATATATTAAGGTTTCCATTAAGTGTGATTTTACTTTGTCTCTTGTTCTGACAAACAGTGCAGAGGAAGAATATTCTGACCAATGAAAGAGTGATGAAACACATAGTATCTCTCATAGTGTGTACAGAAGCATTTTCAACTGCTGTGTGTTGTTAAAATGTTCAACTCTGAATTACCCAACATGCATTTTGTCAAAGGACTTTGAGCTAGCAAACATCCAGCTTTGGAGATATATGATAAATCCAATAAAAAAAATAATAATAAGGTTTCATATGTAACCATCTAGTATCAGAATGTTTGCATGATAGCTTTGTTGCTGTGATTTATTACAAAACAATTACATAACTTTCACATCATATCTTGCAGTCCATCTTATAATCCAATCTATCAGGTAAAGCAGGTAGGCCTACATGAAGACAGGTGCAATGCATCAGAAAACAACCTCAAAGGTTTTCTACTCTGTGTGCACATTCCCTTCATCAGGAAAGCTTATTACTTATGACAGGTTGTGCTTTATTTGTGTAAAACTCTGTAATACTTTTTCCAGATGATCCGGATCATTGTGCCCTCATAGGTTTGGACAGCACAGGCTTGGATCCATTAAATGTTCTGGCCCATCCCCTTTTTTTGTGTTACCATTTATATAACCAAGTTCTTGATTAATATGCAAGCCTGTGTTAGAGAGAAAGGACATGGAGTGTAATATGCAAATAAGTTGACTGTATGGCATTTCAAACATTGTTGTGTCTTGTAGGCCGACTTTATACTGTTCTTACAGCATTGTTAACAGTGTGATTTTACTTTGTCTCTTGTTCTGACCAACAGTGCAGAGGAAGAATATTCTGAACAATGAAAGAGTGAGGAAACACAGAGAATCTCTCATAGTGTGTACAGAAGCATTGTTCAACTGCTGTGTGTTGTTGTTAAAATGTTCAACTCTGACTTTTCCCAACATGCATTTTGTCATGTGCTGACTTTCATTCTTGACATGCATAACATATTCCTGTATGTCTGTAGGGCACTTCTTGCACTTTTGTAGGCATGCTGCAAGGTGACTAAATAACTAAAGAGAAAAGACAAATAGCAGGAATTATTATTTAAACTTCATTGAATATGTGCCACAATATTTCCCTTTAACGTTTTGTTTTCTGTACATTTAAATTTTGTGTAGAACACTAATGGGCCACGACCCAAGTCACACATACAACACTGGAACACATTGGCAGAGTAGAGCAGATTTCTTGAGGGAAGCAAAAACGCTGAGAACACAAAACCTCTGTAAATTGTCTCTTTAATGTTGTATTTTTGAAAGGATTTTGAGCTAGCAAACATCCAGCTTTGGAGATATATGATAAATGCAATCAGTCATGGCATTTTGTTTGTTTGCTTTTTCTGAAGCACAAATTCAGGAAAAGTCAAATGTAAGGTATTCACCCCCCTGGTTCAGAAGTGACAGTGGAGTGTGGTGCCTCACTCTTATTCTTTAGGTCTTGCAGAATTTGACTTGGTATTATAAACAACTCCTCAGATTCACTTCTGACCTCAGCTCCACCTAACATGTAGTTGTAAATGTGTCAGACGGAGGATACTATGAGAAGGGTGGGACCAAAATGAACGCTTCAATTTCAGAGTGCTCTTGATTATTTCTGGAGATATGGTCGAGGAAAAGAAGAGGAGTGGTTTTCTCTGAAGATGTAAGTTATAAAAAGCATTGTCTGGAAGTTTCCACGATACAGCTTTAGAGAAGCTGGCAACCTTCACAGCCACGACCTATTCTGAGCCTTATGCCTGGACAACATTGCACAAAGGTAGGAGCACTTGTAACTGTTTGTAAGTCTCGCAGAACACTTTGCATAAAACCATTCATGCTCTTTTGATGGAGTAAACTAACATTAAAAGAAGATTGTGAAGGTGTATGGTCAGCTTATTTGATACCTTAATCTGTGAGTATTAATTTTGATGGATGCGATACACATGACTTTAAATGTAATTTTGTATAGGCTACATAATTATGAATATGAAAAGTTTGATTTGGTTTAATGTTTTCTACTCAGTGGCTGTGACAAATAAAATACCTTAATTTATTATGTCAATTATTTCAGTATTCGATTTTATTTTAAATGGTTTCATTAATGCTGATAGGATAGGTTATTAAATCAAAGAGCCAAAGCAGTTAATAAAAATGTAAAATATTTAATCGATATATACATTTTATAACTATAATAGTTGAATAAATGTGTTGATGATTAATGCCTTTCATTTTTTGCTTTAAGGATATTCAGAAGAATATCAACAGTTTGGCCTCTGCTGCTCTGTGCACCACCTTTCCTCTCAACACTGTTGTTGTAAGACAGCCAGGGTTCACAGCTTAAAATACAGAAATAAGTTAGATGCGCTCTGCTTTTTGGTCTATAAATAGAAACTGTTTTCAAACTCTGCAGGAGCTCCAGCCCCTGATGGCACAAAGTAACCTGCCTGTTGGCAATGACAAACCCCAGGAGGTCGGGGGGGAGAAAACAAGACCCCTTGCCCTGCAGAAGGCCAGGGACAACTTCCTCAAAGGAGTATCCTACTTCTCTGGAGACATGGAAGTTTTTGGAAAATGGATGGAAAGTAGGTCAACACTGATCATGTACATTTAAAAGCATTCTTCCCTGTCCCACCAAGCTAGCACAGAAGTGGTTACTACATAAAAAGCAGTTGTGAAATTTCAAAAAACTGTTTTTTATTTTACCTTAAATGTGTTAGTCACTGAACTGAATCTTTGTGTAAAGATATTTGACAAATTCGACCCCCAGTAAAATGTATGTGTTGCACACAATGTTACTGTTAAATTATGGTTCAGTGAATGAATACATTGTGTTACTTATCTATCGCTATCAACAACGCGTCCATAGCCATCTACGTTTTGCGCTGTGGACCAACGTAGGTATTACACATTTTGAGTTAAGTTAAGGAGATTTAAAAATTTGTGTTACATACTTTGTTACTTGATACTTACAGCAAAACTTTGTCTTAACAGAAAACCATACAACCCTTTGAGTGGCTTTTCACATCTTAACATTTTTCTGCTGTTGTTTTTACGTCAGAATTTTTTCACACAAGAAAAAGAGGGTCAAATACATTTGTTTCTGATCAAGAGGATTTTATTATAATTGCTGCACAAATGTTCAGACAAAAATGATCACCGTGGGAAGCTTCATCAGCAACTCTCAAAAATTGTCATCTCTCGTTCTGTTCCCTCTTTGTTATCCTACAGAACAGTTCTTTTTGCTGCAGTTGCTGGACTGGGTTTTGCGAGGAGCTGCTCAGGTGATGTTTGTCAACAACCCTCTAAGTGGCCTCATCATTTTTGGTGGCCTCATCCTGCAGAACTACTGGTGGGCTCTCAACGGCTTTGTGGGCACACTCTTTGCCACCATATCCGCCCTTATCCTGCAACAGAACAGGTTCGAACAAACTGATGAAAGAGATCACACTATATTACTATCAGTGTGCCTCATTACAACGCCTTAAAGGGTTACAGTGAGAGCAGGCTAACATTTTTTGCAAAGTGTCCTGACATTAAACATAATGCAATTAATATAAACTCAAGTGAAAAGTCCGTTCATTTTCGTCATCAGGATGTTGAAGGTCATGTTTGTTGCTTGTGTTGAGTGTACTGTGTTTCTCTCAGGGGTGCGATCGCTGCAGGCCTGTATGGTTACAACGGCATCCTGGTGGGTCTGCTGATGGCTGTGTTCTCCAACGCAGGAAACTGGTACTGGTGGCTCCTTCTACCCAACATCTTCATGTCCATGATGTGGTAAGAAACCAGATTAATCAATGGTAAAGTGATACACGAGTAGACTTATATCACAAGAATGGGGATGCAAAGAGGTTAGAAAGTAGATAAATAACCAAACCATGAAATTCAAAATGTAAAAACTGATTAGATTAAAACCTTACAAATTTAAAACATTAGCTGTCAGCTATGCTTTTTCACCCGTGACAGAAAGCGAACAAACCATGTGGTAAAGTAAATAGAACCAGCTTACAGTCACTTCTTTAACTTTATGTATTTGAATATTAAGAGATTCAAAGTGTGCAGGGAAAAATGGAGATGATTGAGAAAAAACTTGTAAAAAGATGGATGCAAATAGCTGTGAAAATAAAATGTGTATTAAATCAAAAACTGGTGATGTTTCCTTGTGGTCCAGTCCGATCGTGTCCAGTGCCCTGGCATCTATTAACAGTCGTTGGGACCTGCCAGTGTTCACTCTACCCTTCAACATCCTGGTGTGTCTCCACATGGTTGCCACCGGACACTACAACCACTACTTCCCTCAAGTCCTCATTCAGCCTCGCTCAGAGCTGCCCAACATCACCTGGGCTGAGATCGATGTGGCCAAGGTCAGTGACATGCCAGAACATGTTCCTCTGTTAGGGATGCTGTGCTCTGATATCACTTTGTCATTACGCAATTCAGACAATACAGATTCCTCCGATTTTTTAAAGTCAGATTATTTCAAGTACCAACATTTTCAAATGAATATATGTGGGATTGCAACATAACTGCTCCGTTAGTTTTTGAAAAAGATTTAGTCTTTCGTAAAGGGGCAGTGATGTCAATCTTTATGTTTCTAGACATACCCACAACATGAAACACAAGTTGCAAAACCTATGGGGTGTAAAGCATGATTTTTGTGTCTCCTTTTTTTATTTTAAACATTGCTGTCCTAACCTTCCCCAGCTATTCATGTCAGTGCCTGTGGGAGTAGGACAGGTATATGGCTGTGACAACCCTTGGACTGGAGGAATCTTCATCATCTCACTCTTCATCTCCTCCCCAATCACCTGTGCTCATGCTGTTCTAGGATCTGCAGTGGGCATGGTTTCTGGTGAGGCAATCCGACATTACCTGTGCTTGTAATTGGAATCATGCACAATAACAAACTTTTGAAGTGAAAGTTATTCAATCAATCAAGCACTACTTATTTTTGCTCCCTTGCATGCTTACAGAATGAATTCAAGCCACTCTCAATATGTTCCAACTCCCAGATGAGCCCAAATATATCTATTTAAGGTGCATATTTACCAGGATTAAGATAATTTAAACAAAACTCTGCACTCCCTTGATAGTGGTGATATCCTATTTTGCAGGCTTGGCTCTAGCAGCGCCTTTTGGAGACATTTACTTTGGCCTCTGGGGATACAACTGTGTGTTAGCCTGCATTGCCATTGGTGGAATGTTTTATGCTCTTACCTGGCAGGTGCACCTACTGGCCATCACATGTGGTGAGTAGACAATCAGAATAAATAACTATCTGTTCCAGTCACATCACATGTTACTGGGCTAAAATCACATGACATTATGTAATCAGATCAGAGGCCAGATACAATCTTTGGCCACAGCATTCACCTGTGTATGATCTCTCACTACTCTCCTCCCTTCCTCTGCAGCTTTTTTCTGTGCATACCTCGGATCAGCCATTGCCAATAGCATGTCCACAGTAAGTACATAATTTCCCTAACTCCTTTTTAAATGTCAGTCTATGGTTAACAGAATTGATTTACTGTTGTAACTTCCCCCCACAGTTTGGACTTCCAGCCTGCACATGGCCTTTCTGTTTGTCTGCGCTCACTTTCCTCCTCTTAACAACTGAGACCAACAGGATTTTCAAGCTGCCGCTTGCCAAAGTCACCTACCCCGAGAAAAACCTGGTCTTCTTCTGGAAGATGAAGAAGCAGGAGAAAATGGAAAAGGCTGAGAAAGAGAAGAAGGAGAGGGAGCAGCTGCAGAGAGCCATTGAAGATGAAGCGATACTAAATGAGAAAGAGCAACTGAGACTAGAGCTTGAAAAAATGGAGGAGGGGAGAGAGGAATGTAAGGCATCAGAGGGAGAATATGACCAGATGTATGTTGAGGACAATGCACCTGCGGTAGAACACAATACTACTGAGGAAAAAGAAATCAAACACATTGACAGCAGTTCAGATGATTATGTTTAAAACCACATTTCTGCAGCGAGAGAGAGAAATAAGCAACTAACAATCTAAAAAGCCTGTTTGTAATTGTAAGCCTGTTATTTGTAGTATTTATATATTATACTTTACATGGAATACTCATGCTGGCAGGATTTCCTGAGTTAAGTTGTTGGTAAACTACATGATTTGAAGAAATATAACTTTGTTTATATAGTGAATGTTTATTTTTTTCAATAAATTAATTTCAAATAAAGATTTTAGTCCAAGGTGTTTTATTAAATGTCTAATACTATGTTGTATTTTACTGGGAAAAATTACAAATAATCTGTGAAACATTTAATCTCTAGATGATGAGCTATATTTCTTCTCTGAGCAACACTTTTAATACATAATTTATTGACAAGACACAGTCACTTGTCCCACAGCAGAGAAATAGATAGTTAAGTTAAAGTTAAACTTTTAAATACTCTGTAATAAGATGCTTTTATTTTAGTGCTATAGTTGTGTAGACCATGGAGTTTCTCGAGCTTTTGCAGGCACAATTGGAACCTTACTTTTGAAAGCTAGCTATAGCTGCAAATGTTTTCACTCCAATTATGACGCATATTTTTAATCTCTCTCTGGTCACTGGTGTTATTATGCAAATCTGGAAATCTGCCTTTGCTCTGCCCCATTTTCAAAGGGGGTGACCCCACATTTTCAAACAATTACAGGCCCATCTCAAAACTGTCTGTCCTGGCCAAGGTTCTGAAAACCCTTGACAATGGACATTTTAAATACCAATAATGTTCATCTGTTTTTCAATCTGTTTTTTTAAAAACACAGCAAATTATCAGCAGATAGAATGTACAAATGATATCATCATTGCGCAGCCCTCTTAATAGACCTGTCCAAGGCATTTGTAGACCATACAGAACTGAAGCACAGACTGAATAAAGCAAACAGTTAATCGGTTTCCAAACTACCCTACAAACAGAACTCAATGAGCCAGATTTACTAAGCTCCCAATTAAAGAGTACTAAATTGCGTGTTCACTCCAAAACTTTTGGACGTTTGGTTGGTGGGCGTTTTGCGGGTTTTCTACTAAGAAAATGTGCGTGAATGGCAACAGGTGCAAACCTTGTGGAGGCGGTAGTATTAAAGTTAGGCTACACTATAGCATGTTTAAATGAGGGAGGAACAGCACCAGTTGACATAGAGCTGTTTATAATGGAGAGGATAAAAGGGCCGGTAACATCAATGGAATCTTTGAGGAGCTTGGTAGGTACTATGTCACTGGGGCAGGTGGCAGATTTCATTTTAAAAACCGTCTCTTTGAGTGAGGTTAAGGTGATAGGCTCAAAACAGTTTAACTGGGCAGAGCAGTTGAAGGGCGGGGAGGCTGAGATGTGCCTGGTAGGGGCTGAGATATTTTTTCTAACGCCAGCAACTTTTTCAGTGAAGAACTTTAGGAAGACTTCTGGTCTACTAAGGGGAGTGTCTAGGATCCAGGAGGGGGGCAGTTGAGAGAGTTTATAAGACTGAATAGGACTTTAGGATTATGGTGATGTTTTGAGATGATATCTGAGAAATGTTTTCATCTTGAGAGGAGCAATATGGTTGAGAATTGAGGGGCAGGTAGCATTAAATAATTGAATGTGATCCTCAGTGCAGAGTTCAGTAGGAAAAAGTTTCAACAGACAGAGTATCTTGAGCAGATAAGAATGCAGCTGAGAATAAACTGGCAGTGGAGGAGTTAATGTAACGAGAGTAACACATGGGGAGGAGACCATTTGATGACAGGTCAGAGAGAGACACATTCAAAATAATGGCACTGTGATCTGAAAGACAAGGGTCCATTATTTCCAAATTGTTAACAGGAAGACCACAAGACAAGGCCAAGTACAAAGTGTGGCCATGTTTATGAGTGGGACCTGAGACATGCTGTGCAAAATTAAATGATTCAATCAGGTTTAAAAATTCACCGACAATTGGTTTTGACGGACAACATACATGGATATTAAAATCACCCAGTATCAAAATTATTTTAAATGATGGCACAATTTGCGATAAGAGGTCTGCAAACTGAGTGATAAAATGTTTATCTGATTTTGGAGGACAATATATTATGATGATAAGAAGACGGTTTGCTGTACCCACTTTAGTGAACTGAGCTTCAAAACTGGAAAAGGAACCCAGAGCAAGGCACTAACAATCAAACTTGTTTTCAAAAACTGCTGCCAGACCCCCACCCCGTCCGGAGGGTTGTGGCGTGTTAAAGAAGGAACATTCATTTGGAGAAACCTCAATAAGTGGACTAACATCATTGGACTTCAGCCAAGTTTCAGTCTCTAGAAGGAAATCTAGGCCCTGGGATGTGAAAAAGTCGTTAAGAATAAAAGTCTTATTTAACACTGATCAGGCATTTATCAGAGCCAGTTTAATTGGGGCCACATTACTGACGTGCGCTAGTAGTGTCCATGGCAGAGAGCAGAGGTTACTAGAGTTTACACCGCTGTGACATTCAGTGGCAGATCGGGATTTTGAGCCTTGGTGATATTGGAAAGACATTTTTACTGGAATATCTTTACTGGAATATTGAAAGTGCCAGAAAGTGCCAGAAGCCAAGTCCTGTAATTGAATGAATTTTCGACATGGAGCTCCGCAGAAGGGGACAGGGACCCAGAGAATGTCACGGTCTTATGAGCCGGTCTTTTCCAGTCGTGCATGTCGTAGTTCCTGTGCAGGGGCGGAGGAGGAAGGGTTTCAAACGTTAAATTGTTTGAAAGGACCCGAGCTCCAGCTCAGTTCAGGTGTAGGCCATCTGGACCGAAGAGACCCCTACGTTCCCAAAACACATACAATTATCAATAAAATTGACACTGTGTGTGATACAGGCAGAGTAAAGCCATGAGTTCAGACTCAGTAACCGACTGAAACGCTCCACCCCGCGGCCATAAGTGGGAATTGGGCCAGATATATGGATTAGCTTGTTCAGGGATGTGAGAGTGACAGAAGTTTATTGAAATCAGCTTTTAGCAATTCAGACTGCTGTTGGGAATGTCATTAGTGCCAACATGAACAAAGATGGTTTCTGCTCCTGGGTTGGAATGTATTAAGTCTCGGACCCTGTCGGCGATATCCAGCACTTTAGCGCTGGGGAAATATTTAATAGTATTTATTCAGTATTTAATACTAGATTGTGAGTCCGGTTATTGAGTCAAATACTGTGTATGTGTTATTAGGGAGGCTCTTCCTTTTGGAGGGGTGGCCACAGGGGGGACCAAGCTCAGAGTTACAGGGGCACTGGCCCCTGTTGGCCCCTCCCTAGAACCGCCCATGGTAACTTCCTGTTGTCAGCAGGTGGCGCTGTGACTATAAGCGAAAATAACAATATGGATGTGTTCACAGCGGGCCTCCCATCATGCATTTGAAGTTTGGTGGTGATTGACCTTTGCATTGCAGAGATAAAGGCATTTAGTGATTCTGAAATTGCCCCAAGAAAAGATGAAAGTTTGACAGCAGGCCACGCCTAAACCCAATGATGTAGAATCGTTTAGAGCACAAGTTGAGATCTTCAACTGAAATTTGCGGACTTCCTGTACATTAGTATGGTCATAATGTAACTTTTTGTTTGTCTCACCAAGATGCATAATGCTTAACCTTTTTCGTGCATGTAGGTTAAGTGCAGTACCCTAGCTGAGGGTTGGGGTGCAGTGGAGCCACTTTTCAACGTACAAACACCGAACCACTTTCATATGTCAATTTCTCACGGGGGAGAATTTTGGGGAAATTTTGGTGAGTTTTCATGCACGTTCAAGCCAGGAAAATCGGGAAAAATAATTCCTTGGGTTACAATAGGATCCTACACACTTGTAAGTGAGTAGGACCCTCCCCTTTATGACATCATGAAAAACTTGTGTGATTGATTGAAACCGGAAGTCCCTCCTCTTCCGGGTTTTTTTAGTTTTGCGCCTTTCTTCAAATGTTTAGGAATGTGTTTTTTTCAAAATGAATGACGCTATTTAAAAAGGACCAATGAGCGTGTACTATGCAAACTGTAGGGTATTTAAGCTTCCAGAAGACATAAGAAAAAGACTTACCATGTCTGAGAAATCGGCTGAATACAGCATGTCCCTTATAACAGAAACCCCGGTAACCATTTTTCAGGAATCAAAGTCCATCCAGGATGCTCCAAAGAAAAGCATGGTGTATTTGCGTCGGACTCAAATGCCACCGTCAGAGTCCCTGCATGAGGAATGGTCCTTGAAGCCCTACAGACAGAGCGGTAGCTGAGGATACGTGTTCAAATACGAAACTGGAGATCTTTGTCTGTATCAGTTGGATGGGGGTGAAACACTGGGGCCTTCAACAATGTCAGAGAAGTAGGTGCACCATGCACACACCCACACACACACACACACACACACACACACACACACACACACACACACACACACACACTTTTAACTTTGGAGGTCAGATTCATAACCCCCACACCAAAGGTATAAATCCTACAATGAGGGTATATCGCTGCCCAACCTGGATTCACTGAAAACTTTGTGTCACTCAACAATGGGTACAACACACACACACACCCAACGACCCATCCACTCACACACACACACACACAATAACCTCCCAGCCAGACATGCAAAAACAAACAAACGCATAGGTTGAAAAGCTTTTAACCGTGGTGGTGGTCAAATATATGACTAAGCCCCACACCAAAAGTAGTCAAATGTGTAAAATACCCATTAAAAAACAGCCTTTTTAACACCAGACAACCCCTCCAACCTCATCCAGAAGTCTGCTTCAGAGAGTGTCAGAGTCTTTTGTGTTGAGTGGAGAAGAAAAACAAAATGAAGCCCGGTATCTCTTCTTCCAAAACAATTATTTTAAAAACGTCTCTATTTAAAAATCTATATAAAACTCAAATGCATGTGTGTATTTTAGAAGTTAGAGCTTAGGCCAAGATCCAGCCAGCACCTTAGAGTTTTGTATCATATCCTGGTAAGTGATCATACCTATTCTCCTGATTTATTATAAATCTATCCTGTTTTCTGTAATGGATAGTTTAATTGATTTTTGTTTGTCTTTATATTTCAAGTTAACCCTCACGAGTTTGATGATCTGCCACTCATAGGTAGGCCTACAGTCTGTTTCCTTCTATTCAAAGTTTGTTTCCATCTATTTTTTTATTTTATTATTTATTTTATTATTTAAGCTTATTT